ACACACACACACACACACACACACACACACACACACAGAGAGAGAGAGAGAGAGAGAGAGAGAGAGAGAGAGAGAGAGACATAGCTAAATAGACAGGATATCTCAGGCATAAGTATTTAAACATTAATTAGTCTCAAGGGGAACTGAGAAAGGGAAAGGAATAACTCAACAGACACATTGGAAATCAGTGTCTCCTTCTAGCACACATTTTTTTTTTCTTCTGTCATATTCCCATCTGGAAATCAAGGCAAACCTGAAGTTTGACAATTTATATGCTAAATGATATAATTTTAAAATGTAATCAGATACTATTTCAAACTAAACAGTAAAATATAGTGAAACTATTTTAAGATTTGTTTATTTTTGATGATGAAGAGCAACATATATATATATATCATTTCTCCATATTTCTTTAAAACTGCTTGTCAACATCTAATAACTCACTATAAAGAATTTTATATAAATGCTAAAGTCTACTGACATAAAAATGAATGCTACCTGGTACATAAGTCTGTATGCCTCGTACCTTAAAAGATCTTCAGATCGGCACATTAGCAATATTTGTGTGTGGAAGACACAATGAAACATGATTCCACACATTTTTTCATAGTGACTGGGAAAGGGGGATATTTGTAAATAAACAAATTTGCAATTTTTCCTCACAGCATTCCCAAAATCTATATAACCCACACAGTGACAGGTAGTTGGAAGATATTATGTAAGAGTACATCTCTATGCCTTTGACACTAGCATGGTCTACCTAGTAAGTTCCGGGACAACCAAAGATGAGTAGTGAGACCCTGTCTTTAAAAAAAAAAAAAAATACACGGGGCATTTTCTGTCTTCTTTTTCAATAATACACATTTATAAAAATGTCCTAATTTGTAGATATGATCTTATAGGTATGGTAAGTTTGTCTCAAATAATACTATTCTAAGAAGAAATGATTCATTGTTAAAGACATTGCAATAAAATTACTTTGCTTTCTCCTCTTTTTTTTCATAACTTTAACACTGAAGCAAAATGTATGTCCTTTACTACTGAGCTAACTTCTAGACACCCATTCATTTTGTTTCTACAAGCAAAGTTTACTAACTGAGTATGATAGCACATACCTAGAATCTCAAAGTGTGAAATGTGGAGGCAGGTCAACCAGGAGTTTAGGACCAGACTCAGATACACAATGGATTTGAAGCTATCCTGGTATACCCGAAACCTCCTCTCAAAAAAACAAACATAAAGTATAAATCACTAAAACTATTACAATTGAAGTATAATAAAGGTAGGAATTTTTTTTAATTTGGCTTTAGAAAAACTTGCCACCATACCAATATCTATGACCAAAGGTGTAATTCTGTTTTTTTTCCAGTTAATTTATCAACATTTTACATTTTTTCCAGATTACCATAAATCAAAATATAATTCATATAGTTAAAAATCACAACATATCATCTTAAGTCTGAGCTTTTCATAAAGTCCACACAGCCTCTTTTATTCCCATTCAGAAAATACAGATGAAAACACCTTGGTTTTAAGGTTAAAGAGGTAGAGTAGACCAGAGAAAGGAATTTCTGAACTTGAAATTCATATTATGAGCAGTATGAATAGAAAGCATGACTGAGAACACAAATGCTGCCTAACATGATATAACATGATAGTAAGTCCTCAAGGGCTCCCCGTGCATCCTGGGAGCTCTTCAAACTCATATGTCAGGAGCATGAAGTAAAAATGGAAACTGCTGAGCTTCAACTCCACCGGACCAATTTCATAGAGCAACTTCTGATTGTCATTAGAGAACACTTACAAATTCCCTAAACTTAGCATTATGTAAGCCCTTCTAACTCAGAAAACACACACACACACACACACACACACACACACACACACACACACACACCACAGACACACCCAACCCTGACCTGACCTGACCTGAGAGGAGCTAAGGGTCTCTCAGAGCTCATTCCCTTCAAAGCAATGGAGTTTGCATTATTGAAAGAGGAGTGCAGAGTGGGGAGGGTAGGGAGGTAGCCCCCAGCCCTGTGTCAGTCAATGAATGAATATACTCAAGGGGGAGGGGGAGAGAAGGTGAGATAAAGAAACTGATACACAGATCACGCCAGCTAAACATTAGAATACAGATTTCTCCTGATGTACTTGGATTGATTTTTTTTTTTCAAATGTGCTTTTAATGTTTTCTACTTTTACTAATTGAAGATGAATATCCTTAAAACTATATACATTTTACTGGAAGTTTAGACACATAGTAAGCATAGTGTTGTTACAGGCTATGATAAAGCAGATGTTTTAGAAAGCAGGAAATGATTATGTAAATACCTTAATCCCAAGATAGACAGAGTTCTTAAAACCCAAAACCAAATGCATATTGTCTACAGTGACCTCAGAAGTAGCAGTCAGTTCTGTCAGACCTGAGTCACAATGCCCTGATCACTGTTTTTCTAATGAAAATATTATGTATACAAGATGGTACATCTGATAACATCACGTGGAATATCACTTCCACATGTAATATTATCAATTAATTACTATAACTTCATTAAAAATAAGAGCCACATAACTAGAACTTAGAAAGTCTGGTTAAAAAAAAATCTTGAATGCCTATCAGACACAGCTTGACAACTGCTAAAAACTTCTGCTTATTTTCCAGAAAGTTCATACTTAACCTTCTAAAGTTACAGCATAAAAGATCAAGTCAGGGACAGATGTGTTAGACCATTTCCATTCTTAAATAACACAGAGCCACAAGGCTACTAACAATAAAACACCAAAAAGACAAGTCATTTAAGAATCTATTTGTCCAAGCAAATTAAAATACTACAAACACATTTAGATAAGGAATTGCAGATATTCCCCCTAAGAGAGTGTTGCGTATTATATAAAGCATAGGCTTTGTTAAATGTTCTCATTTTGACTGCTTCTACATATTAAAAGCCTGAGTGTTTTTTCCAACAGAGTCATTAATTAAAAAATAAAGGTTTCAACTCCAATAAAACATAAAAGAATCTTAAAATCAGCCCCACGTTGCTTCCAAGTTCTAGAAAGTGTGTATAGTTAACTGTTTCTATCTGCTTATCCTCAGTAGGACAGACAGAATCAATTGTTTAACTTCTGCTCAAGAATCACAACTTAGTTTCTTAACTCATTCACAAGAGAACACTGAAAAGCATCTAATTTATATAATAAAACTCATCCTCATCATTAATACTACCATATCCCCATTCTTCCAGAATGTAAACATATTTTTCAAGATAAGGTAAAAATTGGAAATCGTCTCCAGAAGTGAATGTTAACCTTAACTTCTCAAGTCCAGAATGGAAATTTCAGATCCTTAAAATTAGCAACTCGTCCCCATTCCTTGTAATGATACCTACATTCAATCATCTAGACAATATGCCACATTTCATGATTTGCTGAGACCTCATAAAAAACCTGCATGGCACCAAATTTTTTAAAGTGTACTGCCATTTAGTAGTTCCTCCTTTGTTTTCTTCTTAACATCTTCTTTAGCACAGTTCAAACGTGAAATCGTGACAGCAATTCAAACTGACTGTCCTTTCATGATTCCACATAACACAAAGACAAGAGGGGTAAAAAAGAAAAAGAAGCCATAGCTCTTTCTGAGAAAGGGTAATGCTAAGGTGCTTCTCATCCTCTCCTATGTATCACAAAACAACCAACAGAAAAAAAAAAAAAAAAAAAGGAAAGGCAAATCAAGAGGCTGCAGATTTCACTCATTCATGTGTCAAAAGTCCATCAGCACCCTCAAAGACACTTCAGACTTCATTAAAATCCAAAATATTATATTTTACTTCAGCCAGTTTTTCATTATTTCAGGAAAACATTCATCTCATAAAAACCGGTTGGCCATATAACATGAGACATTTGTTCATCACAATGTGTTCAACAAAATTACGTTGACTTTAACCACAATGTCACTTAAAGAAGCCAATTAAATGAGACAGAAATACAAAACTTAAAATACAGCCTTGGGAATAACTTTTTTTCTTATAGCCATTCCCAAATCCTTCTTAGGCTAATCAGGCAAGAACCATAGCACAGAGCTTAAGAAAGCACCGGCCTCTCTCCAAGGATTATCTAAGAACTCAAAAAGGGAGCCAGCTCCTTCCATTTATTTTATTAGTTTTTCTACTGTGGCAAGTGCTACTACTTTTCTGCAGTTTGAGTAACATTCATAATCATTTCCCACAAGTCTTCTTTATAACAGCTAAATAATCTCATTTCTATCCTTAAAAGTCCATTTCAGAAACCTTGGATCCAGAATATATTCCTTTGGTTTGTAAAAACTTCATGCCCCAAATGAAAGGATGAAGGAAAGAATTCTAGGAGATATTTAGCACCTACAATTCTACACAGCAACTGGCCTGTGACAACCATTAATCTCAGAGACACTACTCTGCCTTCCATGTGTATTTGATGGACCATCTGTAGACTCTTTGCCTGATGGGATCCATAGCTTCTGAAAACTGTAGAGATGAGAGCCACATGCTTCCTTTAAAAAAGTGAGGGTTAGGGAACAAACCGAGACTTTGGAACATTATATTTTGTATAGTTGACCACTTTCGATCTAATAGTCTATATATAACCCATTAGCCATAATGAAAATGAACATGGTAACCTACTGATAGAAAATATTTTGATAATTGTATCTACAAATTTTATAATTATGTAAAATAAGATAGGGTTCTTAAGTTGAAAACACATTCCATCTACATCTGTCTATTAATTCTATACCTGTCACTGTCTGGTACCAATACTTAATATTTGCCTGCATCTCCCTGGTACTTTATATCTTTTGGGCATACCCATTTCACAGATCCAAATAATTTTTCCTACTCTTTAGTATTTTCATAAATGCATTAAGAGAAAACTGTAGCCACTCTAAAGTATCAGGAAGCCTTAAGAGATTCACAGTCAACCCACCCGTGTCCAATCTCCATCCCATTTCCTACAATGGCACCTACCCCAGTGTTGTCATGGTGACGATGGTGTACCAGAAGGCTGCAGGGATGCTGGTGAACTTGCTTGCTGATGACCCCTTCTCTGCGTAAAACATAACCGTGGCAAAAATGATGATAGCCATAGTGAGAGAAAAGAGCAGGAAGCCCAGTTCTGATGCACAGCTCTTCAGTGTGTAACCCAGGATGCGCAGGCCTTGAGAGTGGCGGGAAAACTTAAAGATCCTGAAGACTCGAAAGACACGGAGTGTGACAAAGGCTCCACTGACGTCCTCATTATCTGTCATGACCAGCCCAATGTAATAGGGCAGGATGGCCACCACATCGATGATACTCATGACACTGCGCACAAAACGGTAACGGCTGGGTGCTGCGGCTAAGCGGAGCAAGTACTCAACAGTGAAGATCATGACACAGGCGGTATCCAAGCAGAAGAAGGCCACGGCATACCGTTCCCCACAAGGCAGCTCTTTTATGTGGCCTGGGCTAGACCCACATGGAACGGTTTCCACCACATTTGCGATGACAGAGACGGCAATGAAGAACCCAGTCACATAGTAGAACACCAGGGCCATGGTGCTGGTGTGAGGGTTCTCAAAGGCCCTCCAGACCCTCTGCCTAGCAGTCATGGTGGGCAGGGCACTCTCCCCGGTGTTATCAGTGTCTGCATCATCCTGCAGGCGTTCTGCATTCTCCCGCCTGCGGTCCTTGTACTCCTCATAACAGCAGTCGCCAATAATTTCTGGGATGAGGCCAAAGAAGGCCAGTTCTTCATCATAAGCAGAGATGCACTCATGGCGGGGATAGTGAAGCTTCCCTGTGCGATAGAAATTGAGGATGTGGCGGAAGATGTCTGGGTCACGGTCAAAGAAATACTGTTGGGTCTCTGGGTGGTAGAAAAAGTCTCTCTCAGAACTGCCCAGAAGAGTGTCCGGGTACCGTTCCAGGGTGTCCTGCCATGTCTGGAAGCGGGTGCCACTCACGTTCAGCACAATTAGAGCATCCTGAGTCCTCTTTCTCTCCTGCCTTGGGGGTGCTGGCATGGGCCCCGAGGCAACAGGCATCCACCCAATGGCTGCTGCCCTGGCAAAGGGCAACCATGCTGCAACACCAGCCGCCATGTTGTCTGGAAGTGTGGGTCACAGGAGTGATCACTGTCACCCAAAGTAACACAATGAAAGTAACACAACGCCCCGCTTCTTCACGTCAAACAAAACACTGGGGAGCACTGTTCACAGGAACACGGTTATTCCAAGGTGGTGCAGGTGAAGTCACAGTTCTCACAAGGCCAAGTTTCCCTCAGACAAGTATTTGGAATACTAAGAAAAATTACAGTGACCTAAAAAAAAAATCTCTCTCCACGGAAGCTAAACAAATCTCTGCCAACAGTTGGACCAGGGCACGTCCTGGCACGTGTGAGCACACAGGTGACTTCGGAGACAGCCGATTCTTCAAACAGGTGTCTTCACTTCTCAGCTGACACAGTCTGGTTGATGTGGGGTCAATACACAGAGCAAAGAGGGAGGAAGCAGGAGTCACCCAGAGGTAGTCTCCTCAAAGAAAGAACCCTTTCACCTTCCCTTATTGCAGAAGTAGTCCTTCCCGCCAAAGGCGTCTCAAAGAGACGACCTGTTGTTGTAGCTCCGGAGATGCGGTCACAGCCACTGTCCCGCGTCCCTGGGAGTCCGCTGGCCGCCTCTACTCCCGAGGCGCTTGCAGAGATGGAGGTGAAGTGCAGGGCTCGCAGCGGGGGGCGTCGGTCTGGGGCTCTTTCTCGCCCACGTCCACAGACACCCTCTGCGCCAGCCAAGAGCGTTCGCCCGATGGCCCCTTCACTCTCTGTTCAAGTTCAGCTCAGGTGCAGTGTGACAGTTTTAGAGCCCCGGAGCTGGCAGCCGCCGCCGCCGTGGCGGCAGCATCATCTGCCTCCGCGCAGAACGCGCCTCGCCCGCGGTACATACCTGGCCAAGTGCGCGCCTGGGCTGAGTTGCATAGAGACTTTGCCGTCGCCTTGCACCCGGAAAAGGAAAGGGAGAGCCAGCGGCTCCCGAGCAGCCGGATCCCAGGCGCCCGGGGAGCATAAATAAAGCTCTGGCGAGCTCTCCGTCCCCTTCCCCCACCCTCCGCGCCTCCCTCCTCCCTGTCACCTTCCCAAAAGCCAGGCGCAGGCGAGCAGAGCCAACAGCAACAAGTTCAAAAAGGTGCGGGGGAGGCGAGCCGCCCAGGCCACTCGCTCCTGCCAACTTACTGCGCGGCCGGCGTCCCCGGGGTCGGGGCGCTGCGGGGCTGCGGGGTTCCGGGACTGCGGGGCTGCCGGGCCGCGGGGCGGGCGGCGGCGGTGACGGCGTGGGGCCGGGGCCGAGGAGCGAGCGGGCTGGCGTCCGGGCGCGGAGGCAGGAGGCGCTCGGCCGCGGCGCGGGGGCGCGAGAGGGCTGCTCGCTGCTTCCCCGCCAGTGGGTGGTCCCGCATCTCCCCCGGGCTCGGCGCGCAGCTCTGCCCGTGCGATCGATAAATAAGCAGAGGAGAGAGCGAGAGCCGCACGCACGCCCCGCCACGCAGGTTAGGCAAAGGCGTCTCCTGCCTTTCCCTCGCCTTGACCTTTCTCCGCCCCCGCCCCCCTGGGCTCCTCTTGCTCCACCCTAGCCACCCACCAGCCCAGGCACCAAATGTCACCAAGGGAGAGCATCCAGGTGGTTCTGCCCCAGGGATGAGCGAGCCTCGGATGAACAAAGAGAAGCTTCAAGGCTCTTGGCAGCCTCTGTTTGGTGGAGGAGAGGAGGAAGGGGACCGGTGGCTTAGTGCTGCCTCCGGAGCCCCGGTTCCAGATGAGCGTGGGAAAGGGGGGCAAAAAAAAAAAAATCGAGAAAAGCTGGGAAGGAGGGTGAGCGGAGCGGAACGCAAAGGAATTGGTTGCCTTCTGGGGGCGAGTGGGTCGCAAATCTTGCAAAGCTCCGCGGTAAATTTTTTAAGTGATTCCTCTCTTTCTTTAATTTCTGAAAATTTATTTTTGTCCAAAACAGATGTTAACGTTACTAAGGTTAATATATTACCCGCCCAACTTGCTGAAAAAAGTCAGACAAGTCTCCTTGGCTAGGTCTTGCCACAACTCCTTTTCCCTGTCCTTTGCAAATGAGTGGAGAATTTAGACCCTTTTTTTTTTTTTTTTTTTAAATGTCAGAGTGCAGGGGCGTGCGTCTCCGAGAGTGTGTGTCTCTTCATGTTCTTTGCGCATCCCTGCGCATATCTAAAATGGTCAAAGGAGGAAAAGGTGTCCGGGTGAAGGGTGAGTGATGTGAGGAGAGACAGGAAAATTGTAGTGGCCAACCGATTTTGGTCATGTACCCAGCCCCCCAGTCATTAGGTGTCTTCCTTAAAAACCAAGCTTTTAACATCCATAGCCACTAGATGGCGGGAGTGGCGAGAAGTTAAATCTGATTCTAGGGTAGTTGCTTTAGAAAGCCAAACGATAAGAAAAATCTACTGATTCAACGGAGAATGGAATCACATAAGCATCCTTAAATTCCCTGCTACCACCCACCTTTTTAGTGTTTATATGGGACCTACTATTCAGGCTTCAGACTGCATTTTGATGGACGTGGAATACGATGTAGAGAGTTTCTCCTATTTAAAATTGTCTCTGAAAATTAAATTTGAAGTATCATTATGAGCAAATCATTAAGATGATTGGAAAAGTGAAGTTCGTGTTGGCTAATTAGAAAGAGCAGCCTTACTTCTACATAGAAATTGCTGGTCAAGGCTTTGTTTGCTTGTCCTTGGTTTGGGAAGTAAGTGGATTGTGATGTACTGTCTAAGAAATTGACTTCCAAGAAGCGGTCATAGGCATGATGTGTCATCTTTAAATGGATGCTCAAAGAGAACCTATGAACTTGAGGTTTAGAAAATCATCAGATAATGAGAATAAGCAGTCCCTATAATTTGTGGGATTGTCTATAAAGATGGATTGTTTGTGTTTGCTTACATGTGGAGGTTTAGGAATTCCAGTGCAGGTAGGCAGTGCAGTAGACAGGTGTTATTCATTTGTTTGTATTAGCTGAGTGAAGTTTGCTTGCAAAGCTGAAAACTAGCAAGTAGAAAGGAGGGGATTGCCTGCCAGTTGTTATTTAAGAACATAACAAAAAAGAACCTAATACAAATAAAAAAATGTCTTGTGGCAAGATGAAAGCATGACATTTAAGAGACATGGGCGCTAAATACCAATAATGCATGTCCTGTAAAGATAGGACAAGCAAGTGAAACAGACATTTTGCCAGAACAAACACAAATATAAAAGTAACATTTAACTGCACAAGAAGCCTTGGATAATATAACTTAAAATTTAGGAGGACAATGTGATCTGCCCTCCTCAAGTGCCTCTTACAATGCAGAGAGAGCTCAGGAAGTGACTTTCTGATTTTATTTAACAAACTGCTTAACTTCTATGAATAAAAATGGTAGATAAGGAAAAAAAACATTTAGACAGGTTGTAAAAATTAAAGGTAATACTTCCAAGCTCCAGTGTGTTTAAGGGATTTCTTAGAACATAGGAACTAGCTCCTTTATTACTTTAACGAGCATGCAATTCATCCTATCCATCCTGTGATTAGAATTCTCACAAAGACATCATACTTACTACTGTCCCCGAATAAAACTGTCTCCCTCTCCCAACAGGCAAATACCTGATCCTTTAATTTTCATTTATTCATAGACTGGAGATTACATATCAAAACCCAACAGAGTGCTTATATTTTCTTTCCTTGTCCAAAGATTCCAGTTTATCCCTATTGTCGTCCCACCCTGTATACTATACAGTACTGATTAATTGGGAGGAGTCTGAATATGCCATGCTCAGTACCAATTCCTCCTTACATGGCATTTGGAAAGTATATATATATATATATATAATTTTAAGAGTTGTGAGGAACAATGTGTGCCTCCCCTAAAAGAATCACAGTACATTCTACAAAATCACAGACAGAAAGATAACATAGATAACATTCAGATATGATTTGAACAGCCACACCAACATTTCACAAAGTGGGAGGCTTATTAAAACATATATAGTTCTGGAAGCTAGAAATTCATGGTCAAATAGTCAGCAGTATATTAGTATTTGGTGAGGAATTGCTTTCTGATTAAGAAATGGGATCTTCTGACTGTGTCTTACATGGTAGAAAAAGACCAGCCTAGCGCGCGCGCACACACACACACACACACACACACACACACACACACACACACACACACAAACACACACCAATATTAACCTTGAAATGTCTGATCCATTCATGATGCAATGGCCTCCCAAAGGTTCAGAATACTATTGCTACCACACTGGGGAGCACATTTCAGCATGAGTTTGGAGAACACAAACTTTCTGTGTATGGAGGGTATAATCTAATGCTATTCAAATTCACTAATTTTACAAACATTAACTTTTGTCCTTCCACTTAGTTATAGATTTTGTTAGTGTTTATTGTTCCTCGTCATAATAGAGATGAAGGATAATTACAATAACAAGGATTCCTTTTTATGACTATGACATAGCACCACACCCTAGAACTCTCGTCAACCATCCACTAATCTGCTCTCTACCATTTCTGACTTTGAGAATGTTATCTAAAATGAACCCTGGAGTATGTAACTTTTTAAGATTGTTCAATGAGAGAAAACTTAAGATTCCTAAAGAAACTTGAATCTTCCAGTCATGAAGACAAACCTCTGAGGATACACAGAGCGAAGGTGTATGAGCACTGGTTGTATGAGCACTAAATCATAATGGGTTCTGACCAGACCAATCCTTCTGGATTTTATAATTTTACACTCCACTATTTCAGTCAAATCTCCACTCTTACCATGATGTAGATTCTCATTTTCACTTTAAAATACTTAATTCACTTAATTCTGAATTTTCTCCTTACTATAGTAGTATATTAATGACTCAGATAATCATCCTACATTAACTACTGTCGACCCTGATTTTTCATTTGCATTTCACTATGGTTTTTTTAAATTTTTCTAATGGCCAATTTAATTGAAGATTTTTATATTAAATGTTTTATTCATTTTACATACCAACCTTAGTTTCCCCTTCTCCTGCTCCCTCCCTTCCACCCAACCCACCCACCCAGTCCACTCCTCAGAAAGAGTAAGGCCTCCCATGGGAAGTCAAGGAAGTTGAGGCAGGAACAAGCCCCTCCTCCCTGCATCAAAGCTGAGCAAGGCATCTAACCATATGGAATGGGTTCCAAAAAGCCAGCTCCTGGTGTCAGGAGCACCTCAAACAGACCAATCTACACAACTGTTGCTCCTATGCAGAGGGCCTACATAGGTACCATGCAGTTTCCGTAGACA